ATATTACAAAGCACATGCTAATTTCAATAAAAAAGATGATAAACCACTGGGCGACAAAGCTTTGAGCCTTGAAAGGCGCCAGATTAATATGTTTGCCGGTGATACCTTAGCTTAAAACTCAGTATTAACGGAACAGAGCAAACTTTTAATTTTTTTAAGTTTATGCAACCGGGATTTGATTATGGCAAAAGCAGCTTAACATGGAAACAGTAAGAAAACACAGGCGGAAGGGTTGGTAAAAATGAGGAACATAAAATGTTGCAAAAAAATATATCACTCCGCATCTCTCCTGGCACCCAGTCGTTGTGGGTCCTGACTCGGATAGTAAATTGGCGCCGTTGCAGCCGGCACGTACGGCACCATGCGCTCGTATGGCACCTAAAATGAAGGCAAAGGAGTCGTCAAAACATGGGCATGCGATTTTGGACAAAAAAAAGTATTTACAAAGACCAGAAGAAAACGCAGCAAGCAAAAATCTTTCTGGAGCCAACGTAAGTGAAGACACACACCTGAGGTACGACAAGTTGTACAGGAGGTGCATAATTTGCTGCCGGAGGTACTGCAGGCATTGGTATTTGATCGGGGCGCAGATTTATCGATGAAGCTGATAAATCATCGAAGAGGTCAGGCACTGGACAAGCTAAAATTGAAACTGATCAATAAAACAAATCATGCAAATGAACATTGCCAAGAAGAACTATAACAACATTTCACAGAATAAAAACCCAAGCTGCAAAGCATCAAGCTCGCCGCTCCGAACACGCTGCGTTAAACCTGAAGCGATAAGATCGTTAACAGCGTGGATGGTTCTTGCGTTACAGATTGACATGCGTCTGCTTTGGTCTTGCATACAAGGGAGAAGGAGCGTCAGATAAGATAGTAGTGTTGCATCATCAGGCCCCATGCACCTTCAGCGTGCACGATTATCAATATTGCATGAAGTGAAACCATTCCCCGTGACCGTCCGTTCATCGAAAAATAAAATTTTAACAATGAAGAGAATGACGGGGAAAAGGAGTATATTCCGTGTGCAGGGGAATTTAACCTCTAAACTGAATTTTGGCTTCACAGCTTGTCTGATAAGCGGAACGGTGCTCCGTTATAAAGTCCTTAGCGTGCCCTGAGGTGTGGCTTAAATGCAAACCAAAACTCGATTTAGGTACAGGATTTCCCAATCGGCAAAATTACATCTGCTGTTTACTGGCTGGTTTTCGAGTTTGCGCGGTGCCAACTTGCGAACTTTGAAGTGACCGTGCGTATGATGCAAGTGTGTGCGACAACTGAATTTGAAATCTTTAGCTCATATATGGGTACGGCACCCATATAAAGTTCCAGCTTCTTACGTTTACCAGTTTTCGAAATCGTTTCCTCGTTAAAGAATTTATATATTTCTTCAAGGATGAAATCTGGGCGCGCAGGAGCGATGATTTTAAAACGGGATGATGAAGTGAGAATATGCTTCCAAAATTTCAGATCCCTGACTTTTCCCGCTGTTGAGTTGGAAGTGCGTGACAAGGTTAATTCGCTTTTCCGAACACGCAGACAGAGAGGCTCTCGACAATATGTGCCCATGTATTTGTATAAAATGAAAAAACGCATAAAATATTACGATTCGGAAGGCCAGCAACTGGTTCGGCTTTCTTTTCTTCTTGGGTACTGTGCACCTGAGGGCGCCCCCATCGTATTTTCAAACGTCTTCCTGAAGTTTTATCAAAACTGATGATAAGTGCTTTTTAAGGATTTACAAAAACTATTGCTGCAATAATCAGCGCAACAAATCCAGACCATCTTTTCTCTTTACGCCGCTGACTTGGGCGCGGCAAAAAAGTGATGCAGTTTTAGCCACAAGATATAAAGCACTTTTGATTAAGTGCTCTTTTTCCCGTAGTCCGAGACCACTAGTGCTTTTTCCTTTCCCATCCACTCACTTCCTTTTCTTTTTTTCTTCCAGGTTTAGGCATTCCATACTAACACGGCTACACTGATCGGGAGGATGGTGCAACATCGATCTTCACTACTATTATACTGTTCATGCATTCATGCGAAAAAGTCAGCTGTATAGCAATGCCCAGGCCAGACACAGAACAGAGGGGAAGAAAAAGGTTACAGCTGAACAGGATGCGGATTCTGATCGCAGTCTGTTTAACGCCCGGCTGCATGCCTAGCAGAAATTTCCTCTGAGCTTACCTTGAAGGATAAGTTTATTGAATGCCCGTTCCGCGGCTTTTTCGGCGGCCTGTCGTGTTGTGAAGGCGATGAATGCGCAACCTTTTGCTGACAGAACACTAAGACTGCGAATTTCTCCAAACTGATAGAAATAATCCCTGCAACTAAGCAGTTATAAAATATGCCCGAAAATATTAGCTGAAGCAGGAACAGGTTTTCACAATCGGTCAAGTGCTTACCTCAGATCTGATTCATTGATTACTCCGGGTGGACCCAAATCACCCACATAAAGTGTTGTAATGCTTGTATCCTCCGGAGGCTGTAGCACAGGCATTGCTTTCGCACGATTCAAAAGTTTCTCGGCAACCGGATCATGACTGCCGTAGTAACGATCTCGCATGTTTTGATGGCTTAACGGATCGTCCGGATCTGACGGCCGCTCATGTCTGAATCAACACCGACTTGAGTCACTGCCTGTTTCAGGTTTCATGGGACACTGAAGCGGATAAAGTGGGAAAAGTGTACCTGTATGGGCATTCCTCGCCACGCCTGCATTCACCTTTTACGAAGAACGAGCAAATGTGAGGTTTGTTCCTCTGATAATACGGCTGGTTGCGAGCCAGCTTCCTCAGTAAATCGGTTGAAGCTTAAAGTACTGCAATTAAAAAATCCGAAAACTATAAGAGCACCAAAAAAAATTTGTTTCAAATGAGACCCTGAAAGGTTTCTTCTGCATGAACCAGTAATTCCTGTCACAGAAAACCAAGCACATCGAGTTAGCTACCAGCAACCTGAGAAACAAGCTCCGGTTTGTCTAGCAGTGTGAAGCAAAAATAACTTTGTACCCCCTTCGATCTCGATCCGCTTATAGCAATCTAGGTTTCAGAAGAAAAAAAACGAACGCGAGTCGACGGAAGCCTTGGCCAGTGCGCGGACTGGAGTCGTGCCATCGGTGAGCGCCAACTCTTTCTCCTGTTTCTGGATGTAGAAGTCACGATTAGCGCCCTGCTTCGGCATCTGGTCCTGTATTTGCAGGGCATGGTCACGCACTTGCACAGGTAATCCTAGAAATAAAAGTGCTGCAATAAACTAATGCATTCAGTATTCTCAGCACGTGCAAATGTAAGCCAAAAATATCAATCAAAAACAACTCGTAATTCACCAAATTCAAGATCCAAGAGGCACGTCTGACAGACATTCTTCATTTTCGCACAGGTCTGGCATACTTCCGTTTTCTTATAGCGCATCCCTTTTCCAGGCATCCACCGGAAGCATGTGAAAGGTCGCAAACAAATCTTGCATTCAGCTCCATGTCGATCTTTGAGCTGAAAAATTCACTGTTCATAGCCACCCATACAGTTTATAGCCAGTCCTACAGCTTAAAATTTAAGGTGTTTCAGTGCTGCGCCAGCGTCTGACGCAATACTCACGGCCTCTGCAATACCATCAAGCAAAATTTACCGCCAGGAAAATGCTGACCTTCGAATACAACCAGCTGCACAGCGCACGAGGACTGCCCGTGTGAACATGCACTTTTTTGCATAGACAGTTACAAAACTGTCACGTGTTCGAGCGTGAGACTTACGGGAGCTGTAAGCTGACTTTAGGCATACCTAAATGAAGACAGTTCGTGGATAATGCTCACAAAATTTCAGCGCTCTAGGGAGTTACAAAACTGTTAACGTTAAATAACTAAAGAGTTAACAAAAGTGTTTCCGTTAAATTGCATCTGCACGCACTTGGGATGAGAGAGGACGTGAAAACTGTTTTCATATGCACCTGTCCATGTACAATGCGTAGGAAAATTTAACACTCCGGATGCTCTGGTTGCTGGATTCCAAAACAAGCAGTGCACGTGGCCGGACAAGAGACGTAGTGAGGACAA